TCTTTATGAGGTGAACGTGTCCACATCAGAACCTAATATAAGGTAATGAAGCCAGTTTCAAGAGGGCTCAGATTGGCAGTTCTGGATATTTAAACCCACATTGGCTGTAGGTGAGAAACAAGAAGGAATCTTCTAGGGGTTAAGCAGGGGAATGGTTATACAGGCTGCCCCTTCTCCATGAAACACAAAAAAGCAGGATCCTCCTCTGGGCTAAAATTGTCTTTCTTTAGTTTTCAGACAAATCAGGCCCCCTTGGGACCCATCATACATAATGGTTGTCTGAGCTCTGGTGCTGGTGACATGAGACAGTGTAGGAAGGAGGCCATGGCTGAGCAGTGAGCGTGGAAATGCACTGTTGGTGCTACTGTGGACTTGCACAAGACGAAAGTGCTCACATAACCTCAGCCATGGGAACCCCACTGGTCACTGGGGCTCATCATGCTGGAGTTTTAAGAGCAGTAACGAGCATTGCTTGGAAGGAGGTGATAGACCTGAGAGCTTTTTCTGAATCTACCAACCTGAGATGGCAAATGTGAGCAACAGCATTTCACATTCCCACCACTGAAAATCACAGCCTATCTGTAAAGCCCTTGGTACAATATGCAAACCCTCATTTTCAGCTTTGTGCCTTGTGCACAGAGATAGCTTGGGGAAAGTCTTTTCTTCCTACTTGTTAGTGAAGGGGGGAAGTGGAAAACTAATTTAGCCCATTAAAAGTAAGCATCTTGTCCTCTATGTGCTCTGAATGAGTGACATCCCATGTTGAACTTTGTTGAAAATGTATTGTTTTTTCTTATGAGAAAAGCTTACAGCTGAAAATGAGACCGCATTGATATTTTGCTGCAGAGTTGTTGCCTGTAGGTAGGCTTTAGATGGAGCTGTTCTATAGAAATCAATCCTGGTAAAGCAAAAGCAGCTGTTATTTTGCCAGCAAGCAGCAAGCAGAAGTGATTGCAGAGGAACCCCCACTACAGCAGTCCTGCTTAGTAATTTAAAAACAATTGAGGGCATAAAAATAACCTGAACATAGATGGAGAACCACAACATTGTTATTTCTTACGTTTTGAAAGCAGGGACTAGTTAAAAAAATGTGAATTCTCCCTCACTAGGTCTCCATCTCCATGTATGACCAGTGAATAATTAATCCTCTTTAGATATATGAAAAAGTTTTCACCACTGATAAGGAGGGGTGACTATCTAATATTTGTAATGCTGCTGGGACAGCTGGCTCACATGGGTTCTGGTGGGAATGCTCCGTATTTCATCAGTTCCTTTCATCATCTCTTTGGCTATGTTGCCTGCTATCTTACCTCTCCATCCAATCAGGCACTGTAAAATGAGCTCATCTTCTTCTATGGACAGAGGATTGTACCTGGCAAGCACCTTGAGGACTGCATGAAATCACGTCAGGGACTCCACCTCTTGGAAGCTCTTGGGCTCCTTTTCTCTCAGTCTATGAAGAAGAAATCACTGTCATCCTTCAAAATAGAAATCATTATTAGAAAGCCTCAAACAGGGACAGAATACTGGTTACATAACAAAAACCCCCACCAACTATACATTTGTTTTTCAAGTTTATTAATACATTTTAAGAAGGCTTAAGGATGAAAGATTCTGTGGCAATGCAATGCAGTATTATAATATTAATTTGCATCAATTTCTTAAAGAGATAATTCAATTAAATAGTTCAGCCTTTAGCAACTTCTTTTTAAAAACCATATCTCTTTTCGAACTGTCAGCCACTTGAAGGAAGAGCCCTTGATTCCCTCATGATTATATGCTAGATGAGGCAATTTTTCCTTGGGGAATAACATTAGCTAAATTAGGAACACTGTAATTTAAAGGTGATTAAGTACCTTTTGTGATTGTTGTTCTATGACTTCAATCTGATAACACTTAAGTGCATGTGTAATCTAGTCTTCCACAGGGCTACTCGCATTCATAAGTGGATTTAAACCTGTGTAAGATCAGGACTTAAATAAGCACCACAGTTAAATATTTTATGGCACATTAACAAAGTATACATTTGTTCTTATTGCAAGGACATTTCACAGTTGTGGTTGGTGCAAAAACACTCAGAATGCTTTTAAAAACTGGGATTTTCATTTTACAGAAGAGAGAAGCAAGGCATGTGAAAGTGAATAGATACGTTCTGCTCCACTGGCAGATCTGGGAACACAGTGTGAACACTTGATCCTCACAGATTTGTGCCTGGTTCACTCTGTACCTTGTACTCTGTACCTTGGAGCTCAGGGTGGGAGGAGCAGCAGGAACAATCCAGACCAGGCAAAGTGACCAAGTCATTGCTCAACCTGCCCACTTCTCTCTGGAGAAATTCCTTCTTAGCCAGCAGCCCCTCTCATGATTTCAGTGGAACAGGCTTTTTGTCAGCAGAGCACCCAACGTGTTGAAGGATGTCAGAACATGGGCTACTATTATGCCCTTGGCAAATTTTAAGGTTGGCATCTGTTGGAGGTTGCCAAGTAAGGTGCACTCAGCCAACCCACTGTCGAGAAGTGGTGCTGGCATTTGCCTGTGCACCAGGATATTTTACAGAATGTCATCACTTGGTAATGAAATGTTCCCCAGTAACGATGCCTCATGAACACAGAAATAGCCTTTGCCCATCAGAAAGTTTAGCAAATAATGCTTGCAGGAAGTGATTTGCTAGGAATCAATCAAGCAGATCCCAGAAATAATGTGACAGATGGTAACCCGATGTTACCGCAGCATCACCAATCTACTTTTTACTTGCACTTTAAACAACCATTTGGACTCAGGTCTTTAAAGAAGAATGTTCACTCTCTCACTCTACAGCTGGTTGAAGCTGAATTGAAAATTCTGTCATTAAAAGTCACTGAAAGGCAGAATAAAATTAAAAGTATGAAATTTCCTTCAATGCCAAAGGGAAAAAAACATTCAGTTGTCAAGACTCTATTTTGATGCCTTTAGGTTATGTGCCCTTGCTTTATTTTTAGCTGTGTTATGCTACAAACAAAAATTCTCAAATATAAAATTAACACAATCATTATTCCAAGTGCTACGTACAATGCGAATTTAACAAAATAGATGGTGAAATGACAAATACTGGAAAGAACAAACAGGTTTCTGTTCGCATTTTCATTTTCTGCACTGTGAATACAAAGCTCATTGAAATCATCACATCTCCATTTTTCATGACCTAGCACCTTCTGAGAGAAAAATACTCCACCTAAGCAGTATTGTTAAGGTCTCTCTAGGCTGTGCCCTGGTGCACTCAAGTTATGGTAGTTTAGCAAGTTACTCATCATAACCAGTGGTGTGCACAGCTTCTCCTTTTGAATTTGCAAGGTAAAAAACCACTCTTACACTGTATGCCTAATTTGCTTGTTATAATTTATTGAGGCTTGAAATGCTTACTCCATTTTCCTGCTGTATACCTGCACGATGTTTTGTCACTGTATGAAGACTTGCTCATTGTTACAGCCCTGATTTATTAACTAAAGCATTAATGCAGTCCTTAATCAACAGCTTTTTCTTTATAGCAGGAGATTTTTCTCCCTCCTATCCCATGTGCATCATGCACTCTGCAACCTTTCACAACGGGAATTCTCATTCCCTGCAGAGGTTAGCCAAAATACTGCTTGCGCTAAACCAAGGATCATCCCAGAAACGGGACAGCTGAAGAAAGCAAAGTAGGCCACCAACATTCCCTGCTGAACTGCTGGATGCGACTGTCCGAGGGGAATGCTGTCACACTGGCTGTGTGACAGCACCTAAGCTGTGCATGTGATGAGAAGGTATTGTTATCCCAGGCTGTTGGGGTCATTCACTGGGCTCATCCTTGGGAGCAAGGGGCATACAGAGCCACAGAATGAACCGCTTGGTCAGAGCGGGCTGAGGTGTTTCCTCCCTGCAGTCAAGTGGGGAAAAGCCGAGGGGAAATCACTGCAGCAGCCGGTGCTGCCATGGCCCCACTGCAGGCAGGGCACCTGCCCAGCCTCTCCCTTCAGTGCTACATCAACATGGAGAATGTAACCTGTTAACACGCATGGCTTTAAACTGGAAAAAAGTAGATTTCGATTAGATACGAGGCAGTTCTTCCCTGTGAGGGTGGTGAGGAACTGGCACAAGATACCCAGAGAAGCTGTGGCTGCCCCATCCCTGGCAGTGTTCAAGGCCAGGGTGGACAGGGCTTGGACAAACCTGCTCTCATGGAAGGTGTCCCGCTGCCTGTGGCAGGGGCTGGAACTGGATGAGCTTTAAGGTCTTTCCAACCCAAACCATGATTCTATGTACCTAGGCGTTTGCAGGGGGTGAGCTGTAGCTCATATAAGTATTTACATGTATAAATATGTACGTATGACTATGGTGTTCTGCAAAATTTGGCACAGTGCATGTGAAAACTGGATTGCCTTAACCCCCCCGTGTTTTTGCGATTTACTCTAACACCCTTACACATCGCCTTGCATTCCTGGGACAGGATGCATGAACAGTATCTACAACTGAAGCTGCTGTCACTGCACTACGCTGGGTTGTATCTTCCGTTGCTCCTAACTCCGCCGGGTGCTTCCACCTCGGCCATTCTCAGCCGGTGAGCTGAGGCAGCTGGTTTTCCCCATGAAGACCCGAATTTGGGGCAATTTCGGTGAATGTCACCACTAAAACCCCCAGTTCCGCCGGGTGCTCTGAGGGACGGGACCTCCCTGACAAACACCGGCGTGATGGAGGTGGCGGAGGCAGCGAGCGCGCCGGCCGCGGGGCGCGAACCCGGCGCCCATCGGCCGCTCGGGGCCAATCAGCGGCCTCGTTGGTGACGCGCGGGGCGGGGCGGGCGGTGCCCGGGCGGGCGGGCCGGGGCTTTCCTGTGGAGGGCGGGCAGCGGGCGGACGGGTGTAGTGGAGGCAGCGGCAGTCGGGTCGGTTGGGGCAGGCAGGGAGTCGCTGTGCTGCGTCCTGTGCACCGGCTGGACGCGTGGTCGCACCTCTTTTTTTATCTAGACACATCGGTGTATATAGGGATACAGGTTTTCCTCTTCAGTTTCTCGGGTGTGCGTGCGCATCTGCCGCGGAGCTGGCGGGCTGCGGGCTGCCGCTGCGCTGCGCTGAGCTGAGTTGAGCGCGTTGCCGTGCCGGAGGCGCGGGGGGCCGTGGCCGCCGCCGGGGCTCAGGCCGTTCCGGGCAGAGATGGGTTTCGCGGCTGCCCGTGCGAGGGAGGACAGTGGCCGCTCGGCTCCGAGTGCCCGGGCGGGGAGGTGTGTGTAGGGACCACCGCCGCAGCACGGGGGTTTGGTTTTCCCCCCATTCTCTCAGCTTTCAGAGGTGTAGCAGGCAGGGGTTCAGGTGCGTTGGGTGTTTTTTTTTTTCCCTCTTGTTGCCTCCGTCGGCTTGTTTGCCCCCTCCCCTCTTTTCTATTTTTACGTGAGGTGGAGACCGGGGTGTCTCATTTTTCTTCAGCTCGGTAGTGAAATTGCAGCAGTTTGTGCCTCCTCCAGTGTGCTCGAGCGAGGAAAATGGAGGCTGTGATAGAGAAGGAATGTAGTGCGCTCGGAGGGCTCTTCCAGACCATCATAAGCGACATGAAGGTAAGAGACAAGGCTCTAGGGAAGGGGGGGGGGCAGGTGAGAGGAAACCTCTCACAACCCGACCCGATGAAACTTTGCCCTATGCGATGCAGGAGCATCGGGGGGCAGCGGTGGCAGCGTGACATCCCCCCCACCCGCACCCCCCGGCCCTGGGCTGCTGCTGCCCGCGACCCTGCCCCAAAGCTGGGTGCGTGTCCCTTGCCGGTGAAGGCATCCCGGATAAAGGGACCCCTGGTAAATACCTCAACCCTATGGTTTGGGGCTTTCGAGTTGCTTGCAGGACACCACCTCTCCCTCCCTCCCTGCTTCCCCGTATTCTCTCTCCCCTGATCAAACGTGCAGGCTGTTACATTGCGCCAGGGTCAGCGTTTTCCAAACCTATCTCTTTTTATTAAATCCCTTTCGGTGTTTTATTTTGGGCTGTGGGACTGCTAGCAGGATCAATGCAGTGCGGTGGGAGCGTGGTGTGGAGGAGATGGGCATGCTACATGTCAGCCGTGGGGTGGGGCTGGAAGGGGCAGTGAACGGATGGATGTCTGTGCTGATGGGCACGGTGGAAAGAACAAATCTCAGCCTGGAGATGCTCAAAAGTTGATGCGTGCCTGGGTTAAAATTGATACTCAGTCGGTTATGTGGTATTATTTTCATGCTGTGTATGCTCATGGGGGTGGCATTTGCTTCTTTCTGTGCACGAATGCAAAGGTCTCAAGTTGCCAGGTCTCTTCTCTCTACCAGGCACCAAAAACCTCAGGCAGCACTGACCCCTTCTACCAAAGAGTCCCTCTGGGAGCGGTGCTCCCCGTCTACCCTTGGCAGCCAAGGGCACTTGTGCAGGGTTTTCTTTGGGTGAGTGGGTGCCTCCCGCCCTTCGCTCGTGGAAATAAATAGCGCAGAAACCTTGCTGTGTTGTGCCAGTCATGCCTCCCCCGAGCCCAAGGGCTCAGGGCGCCCTGCCTCTGGCGTGGCCGTACTGCAGAATACTGCAGTGTTCCCTGGACAAGGGCAGCTTGTCTTCCTCCCAGGGGCTGGCTGGGAAGGATGCAGTTGTTGGCAGATGTTGGGGGATGTGTGAAATAATGGGGGGGACCGCGTAATGTGAAGGCAGTGCCCATGTGTGTTGTGCTTCTCCCAGCCAGGGGCACGGGATTTCTGTGGGTGTTTTAAAGGGTCCAGGGCTGAGGAGCAGGGAGGGCTGCAGGAGAAATTGCTGCCAAGTGGTGGTGAAGGAGGACGGGATCTGCTTTAGGAGGAAGCCTGGCAGAGGTGAATGGCTTCTAGCGTATCTTTTTTTTTTTGGGGGTGGTGGTGGATGAGAAGCTGTTTGCACTAGAAGTTAATTTTTGGCAAGTGTTCATATGCACTTTCCTCTCAGCACATCTTAGGAGACATTTAATTAAAAGCACGGCTTGTCAAGAGCAGGCAGATTGCGGAGAGGAGGGGGAGTGTGTATGTGTGTATCTGTCAAGACAATGCTGCAGTCCTGGCAGTGGTGTTCCTCAGGCTCTTAGTCCCTTGTATTTTTTATAATGACAGCATTTTAAAATAAAACAGCAAGCCACCCCCCCAAAAAAAGCAGGAACGAACACAAATCCTGGCATCATTTTAGTGGGCTGTGCAGGGAGCATGCAGGAGATGTTCTGTTCCAGATGAAGTGTGGTTTTGGGCTTCGGCACAGAGGGACACCGAGTATGTTTATTCTCGGCTTCTTTCCATAAGTGATGCATTTGGTTTATCTTGCTTTTAAGCAAACAGGCCTTTGCTGTGTGGATTTATTTATTTATTTCCTTTACACATGGTTACTTGCATGGGAGTGCTGCTCATCAGGCACAGGTTGATGTGAGCTTATGGAGATGGGCACAGGTATGAATATTTTTTCTCCTAGTGCTCCATAGTAGTGGAACCTGTTCTGTGGACTGGCAGTTATTGAGGGGGCAGGTTTGCAAGCAATCACAGCAGATATTTAGCAGCGTGGTAGTTGTTAAGGTTTACAAAAAATCTGCTTGTTATTTAGCATGAGCAGAAGAAATAATTCTTACCTGTAGCTCAGTTTGATGCAGCTAAGGCCATGCTGCCACTGAGGTGCTCTAGGATCCTTTGTGACTGCTGCACAAAGGATTGTGACAACTTCTAAGAAAGAATAGCTATTTTTGATAGCTAACTAGAACCTTTCCACTAATGATACCTTTAGTAGTAAAGTGAAAATTAGCATTTGAAGTGCTGTTTCACATAGCTGGGTCTGCGTGGGCAGGCTCCTGGCAGGCTCTTGGAGATGTTGCGTAGGGGTCTGCCCACACATACCAAGTGCACTATCTGTGCCTATTTCTCATCACCGCTGTGATCAAGTCCCCACATGCCCTGCAGTGCTGAGGGATTTGCTGCAGCATCTGCCTTTTTTTTTCCTTAACTAAATAATTTGCAGGTTCTTTTTATCATACAGATTGCTCCGCCTTAAACCTGGTTGTAAAGATGGCAGGGTTAATCAGCAGAGTATTAAAATGACTCTGAAGTCTTGCCAGTAGAAGCAGATGGGTGCTGCAGCCGAGGTGATCCAGTCCATGTGGACTGATTTTTCTCTTTGTTCACAATAACACAGAACTAGCTCAGGTGTTAATTTTGAGCTCTCCTTCATCTTTACAAGGTTACAGAAACTGGAATTATAATTCTGAGCAGTGTGGTTGTTTCCATTTGTCTCTGGACTGTGTTAACTTTGAAGCTTAATGAGGGCAATATATGCCAGTGTGATTAATGCATCACATTTTTTGATGGCAAGATTATCTCTTGCTGTCTGAGGTCTCTTGAGCTGCCTTTAATATTTTCTCCAGAAACCTCACATTTCTCTTCACCCTCCTAAAAGTAGCTTTGTGGTTAATGCTCAACAACACAAGCTCCAAAATAATTTGCTGTAAAGCCCTAAATGATTTGGAGAAATGATGTACTGTGTGCAGTTCTGGTGTCCTCAACATAAGAAGGACATGGAGCTGGTGGAGCAAGTCCAGAGGAGGCCACAAAGATGATAAGGGGCTCAAGCACCTCATGTATGAAGAAAGTTGAGTCTGTTCAGCCTGGAGAAGAGAAGGCTGCAGAGACCTCATAGCAGCCTTCCTGTATCTGAAGGGGGCCTACAAGGGTGCCAGAGAGGGGCTCTTCATCAGGGACTGTTCACAGTAGGACAAGGGGTAACAAGTTAAAACAGGGTAAGTTTGGGTTAGATATATGGAACAAATTCTTTGCTGTGAGGGTGGTGAGGCACTGAAATGGGTTGCCCAGGGAAGTTGTGAATGCTCCATCCCTGTCAGTGTTCAAGGCCAGGCTGGACACAGTTTTGGGCAACATGGACTAGCATGAGGCATCCCTGCTTATGACGGGGGGGTTGGAGCTGGGTGATCTTAAGGTCTTTTCCAACCTTATCCATTCTGTGATTCTGTGTTATTGAGTTAAATATAAGAGTGGTTAATAGCCATCCCATTTATACCACACTTAATGTACCTCTGGAACTTCAGTTGCCTGACAGGGGAAGTCCATGTCTTTCATGCAAAACAAGGGTCGCGTTTGTTGAGTAATGGCTGGTGTATATGGTGACAGGGTTGTTTATGGAAAGCCCACAATGGGAATTGTACTTGGCCCTTGTGCTTTATAACTGGGCTTCTGTGCTTTGAGATTTCAGGATCAGATTAAAGAATTATAAAGGTGGGAAAAAGTCTGCCCATCCCAGCCTAAGTTTAGATTCATTGTCACAGCCCTGGTGTTTCCTATGGTACGTCACGGAGCATGTGGCACTTACAGTTTGTTATACTCTTATGAAAGATCTTTTTCAAAGCAATCAGAGTTCATGAAAAGCAAAATAAAATGTGCATGTCCCCATGGAGGAGCAGTTTTGTGTGCTGCGTGCAAATGTAGTGCTGCTCTCTTTGAACGTGGCATTCGTTCTGTAGCTCTCTGTGGGAAGGGAGTATTTGATCTGAATGGTTTGTAACTCATTTCTGGCAATTGGAAAATGAGATGCTGCAATGTGCTGCTAATTTCAGTGTTTCTTGTAGTGCAAATCAAATTGGTGCAGATGATTTTGGGGAGGCCCTGTTGTGGATGGGTTTCAAAAGATCTTGTCTTCTCACGCAGAACAGATCCTTTTTAATGCTGGTTTTCCTTCTGAGCCTTGCTTTTTACCTTCCTTTTAATCACACTGTTCTCTGCTGTCTTGAAGGAGAAAGGAAAACAGGAGGACACCTCTGAAAACATTGAAATTGGCAGTGTTTGTAGTTCATCACTTGTGTGAGCCTAGTTCTTTTGCTTTTTACATGTTCTTTATTTCTCACACCTCTTCTGTAGCACGTGTTTTGGCAGAGCAGGGGCTTGTTGTATGTGTATGGCACACGACACCTGTGGGGTGGGTGTGGTGGGAAGATGAGTAATGAGCAGTTGGATGAACACAGGTTTGCTGTGACTTCATTTATACCAAGTGGGAGGACTTACTACATTTTTATGGGCCTGGTGTGGATTACCAGTTGGTCTCACTCATCTCCCACACGTGAGAGACATGAGGGAATCTACGGAAGTCCTGTTGGTGAATAAAAACAAGGTTCCCAAAGGAGTAAAATTTTTTAAACTCTTTTATTTCAAGTATGTGTGCCTTATTCAGCAAAAACTCAAAATCAACCTTTGTTTTTGGAAGTAACCTCTAATGCTATAAAGCTTCCCTTCACTGCATGGCTGCTGCTGTGACTCTTGGATGAGGTGGTGATGCACTTCTGCTTTCGGCCATGCAAAGCTCTTAGTCAGAGGAGAAGGACATGAACACATGGGCATGAGAAACATTTATGTTATTGCAGCCTCTTATCTCCTGTTAGGAGAAGTGCCTGGTGAGAGGCAGCATTTTAATCTTGTTTTTTGTTGAAGATAGAGCCGGCGGTAGGGGGGTGGTAGCCCCATCAAGGATTAAGAGACATTTGTTCAGGAGGCCTGGTCTGCTGGGGTGGGGATGGCCTTGTGCTGTTCACACAAAT